TCGCATGACACGTCCCCGCAATTCCGAGCAACCGTTGAGGACTGCGAAGCCAAGGAGGAGTGGGAGGAGGAGGAGGAGGAGGAGGAGCAGGATGACTGAGGACGGGGGGGAGGAAGGACAATCCTCGTATTGCTGTCAGACGAGTACTCTTGTTTTCAATGCTCTCGGGACGCTCCTCGTCGCCAGGGCTGGACGCGGCTCGATCCTGCCTGGTGTGGCGGGCTGGTGCTCTGCCGACGAAGGGTGTGTCACTGGCCCGTTTCCGCCCTGATTGTGGGGACGTCTCGAACGGTACATCTGTTTTACGGGGGGGAGGTGTGCGTTCGAAGCCCTGTGGTCCTCGCTGGCCACTTCGGTTGGCTCTTGAGGGCCGTTCTGGGCCCCATCGAGGGCCTGCCTTGGCTCGTGGGGGGTCAAAACACCTGAGCCCCCGTGCGCGGGTAGCCCGGCACAGCTCCGGGCAACCCCGGCAACACCACGGGCGGTGCCAGGGAGGTGTCGGGGAGGCGTTACCCTCAAGAGAGCTGGGTGCGCCCGAAGGCCCACAGAGAGCCACCCTCGGAACCTAGGGCTCCGAGATGCCCTGACTTGCTGTGCTCTGGCTCGTTTCGCTTGAGAAGGCTTCAGAGTTCTGGATTCCAAGACGTTGCTCGCGAGGCACTCAGGCCCGCTTTGCCTGAGGCACCCTCGGAACCCCCCGCCTGAGGCATCCTCGGAATCCCTGGCTCTGACCTGCCCGTTTGGCCTGAGACGTCCTCGGAAAGTTGGTTTGAGGATGCGGTTCACGAGGTGCTCAGGCCTTTTTCGCTTAAGACATCCTCGGAATTCCTGGGTTCCGAGATGCCCTGACCTGAGATGCTCAGTCCCGTTTCACCTGAGACATTATCATTACGCTGTTCGCCTTAGTCATCTTCGGATCCCCAGTCTTCGAGATGCCCTGAATTGAGGTGCTCTGGCCCATTTCGCTTGAGACATCCTCACCACTCTGGGTTCCAATACGTGGTTCGCGAGGTACGCAGGCACGTTTCGGCTGAGACATCCTCGGAATCCCTGGCTCTGACCGTTCGGCTGGACACGTCCACGCAAGTCTGGGTTGAAGATGCGGTTCACGAGGTCCTCAGGCCCGTTCCGCTTGAGACATCTTCGGAATCCTGGGCTCCGAGGTGCCTTGACGTGAGGTTCTCTGGCCCGTTGGGCTTGAGACATCCTCGCAACTCACACCTCTGGGTTCCAAGATGCGGTTCGCGCGGTGCTCTGGCCCGTTTCGTCTGAGACATCCCTGGGTTCAGGATGTGGTTCGCGAGGTACTCAGGCCCGTTTCGCCTGAGACATCCTCCGAACCCCGGGCTACTGCGAGATGCCCTGAATTGAGGTGATCTGGCCCGTTTCGCATGAGATGTTCTCACAACTCTGGGTTCCAAGACGTGGTCTGCGATGTGTTCAGGCCCGTTCCGCCTGAGACATCCTCGTAATCCCTGGCTCCGATATGCCCCGACTTGAGGTGACCCAGGTGTAAGGGCACCACGCTTGAAGGCGACATTGACGGAGTTGTTGCTGGGGTTGCCCCCGGCGCAGAGGGAAGCTGGGGACCAAAAGTGACAACAAACGAGAAGTCCGCCACATGTATTCTACAGGCATTGCGTATGTAGCCTTTGATGTGCCATGTCGTGTTGCACTCGCCTCCAGAGTTGTGGAGTACTCTTGTACGCGAATTATGTGCTTGGTCAGTGGGTTCCGTTCGTTCACGTTCATTCCCGCTGCGCGAAGCGTCTCGATGGAGCAATTCGCTCGTTCGTGCTATCAGTTGCACACGAGCCGTCGAGTCGAGGGCCGTGACCGCGCATAGCATCACAACATGGTACAAGTCTTGTTCATTCACGAGGTTCAGACGGTCTCTGCGGATGCCGGTCGGGGGCGCTTTGGAGCCTCACGGGGGCCTCCCCGAGGCCTCTTGGGGGCCTCTCGGGAGCGCCTCGGAGGCCTCTGGGGCGCTTCCAGGGCCGCCTTTGGGGGAAAGGATCGAATTGTCAGTTCGGAGAACCCTCCTTCACCCTCTCTTGGGCGCTTCTTGGGGGCCCTCTTGGGCCGTCGTAGGGGCGCTCGTGGCTGTCTGAGGCCCTCTTGGGCCGTCTCGGGGCCTTTCTGGAGCCTCAGTGGCTGTCCTGGGGGCGATCTTGGGGTCCCCCTGGGCCGTCGTGGACGCTGCGAAGACGAGACAGGCGAGGATGTCAAATGTGTGTGTGCTTCCCGGAGGGAATTGGGCCCGATGTCTGCTCCCGGCGGGCTTTCTCGGCGGTCCGCTGGAGCACCGGGGCCGTCTGGGCGCCTCGCGGGCCGTCCTGGAGCCCTCCTCCTCCTCATCCTCCTCATCCTCCCCTCCTCCCCCCCTCCTCCTCCTCCCCTCCTCCTCCCCCTCCTCTCCTCCTCCTCCTCCCTCCTCCTCCCTCCTCCTCCTCCTCCTCCTCCTCCTCTCTCCCTCCTCCTCCTCCTCCTCCTCCTCCTCCTCCTCCTCATCCTTCCCTTCCCCTACGCCGTCTCGGCGCGCTCTGGGAACGCCTCGCCGCTCCGTCGTGGCTCTCTGGGGCCGTCCTGGGGGCCCTTTTGCTTTTGGGGGGTCTGGAGGTCGACCCCCACGCCCACGCTCAAACGGCATGTTGGAGCCCGGGGGAGGGGGGAAGGGGGGAGGGGGGCAGCCCAAGCTAGGTGCGCTCGCGCCATATCTGACATCCTACCCCTCCCTCCCATCCCTTACCATGGCGCAGATCCCCTCCCTACTCGCGGGGGACAGCCGAGCGTCTCACACGCCTTTTCACCCCAGGCAAGCGGGTCGGCGTATCCTAAGCCACTGCCATCGACTCATTCGTCGATCTGTGCGTGCGTGCGTGCGTGCGTGCGTGCGTGCGTGCGTGCGCGCGCGCGTGTGTGTGTGTGTGTGTGTGTGTGTGTGTGTTTGTGTGTGTTTTGAAGTGGGCCAACTTGCCGAAGTCAGGCGTATGCTCCTCGGCTCCTTCACTCCCCATCGTCCTCCTCCCCTACTTCGCCTTCATCCTGCTCCCCTTCCCCGTCCCCCCCTCACGTTCTACTCATCAGATTTTCGTCACCCCTCCTCCCATCCTTCCTCGTTATGTTAAACTCCGCCCCGCCGCCTCCGCCAGGGGTGTCGGTGGACGGTTGGGCTCTTCGCTGGAAGCCGCCCCAAGTTGGAGCCTGAACTTCCCAGCATCTCCAGAGATGGAGTCTGGTTGCTTTTTTACAGCGGAGACCCATGCCAAGAAACACTCTGCTTGCCTCCAGGGTGCCCAGGGTTGCTTGGGTTTCGATGTTTTTTGCGATGGAAAGCGTGGCGTTCCCACGCCAAAATCGATGGACGTCCTGGGGTCTCAAGTTTGGGTTTCTCGTGGAAGGTTTCTTGCGATCGCCCCTCCCCCTGTACTGGTCCACACGTGGGTTTTGTCTGATTGGCTCGCGCTGCTTTGTGAAAGACACTGGCGGGTGAGGGGTCCTTCGTCAGGGGCGGCCCTCGGCCTTCCTCGGGGTTGCCCAGGGTTGCCCGCGGCTTGCAGTGGGCACAAGCGCCAAGCGATGTCTAGCAACGCGGAGCAGTGCAAAGCGGTGTCAGACAGACCATTGAAACACCAAACCACATCAAGCAACGGTGCAACACGCTACCCAGCAGCATCCGTCAATGTCAAACAGTGGCAAGCAACATCAAGACTCGTCAAGCAACGTCATTATAGTACACACGCACCATTGCGAAGCAATGCCAGGCAACGATTTTAATCAATGCTAAGCAACGCCGAGCAAGTCCGAGCAATGAAGCGCAGTGCGTTGTATTGAAGTGCTTTGCGTTCCTTGGGCCCGCCCTGACTTGCGTTGAGATAGACAGACCCCTAAGTGGGGTCGCGTCGGGATTATTGCCGCGCACGTTCGCCTTACTCCAACAGCTACAAGCATGAACAGATAATGGCCTTCAAAATGTGGTTCCCGCGTCAGCGCCGCGCGAACTAGTTCAGTAGCACAGCCGCTTACAGCATCGAGGCTGGGTGGAATTCAATGTGTTGCTCTCGCCTATGCGCCGCGCACGTGCGTACTAATATTTCCCAGCAGCTACAAGGATGCAGGGCGAAAGGCTTTCAACATGTGGCTTATGCCTGAGCGCCCTTCACACCAGTTTCGAAACAACGCAACCGTTGCCAGGATGGGGCCTCCTGGCGGCGGATCGGAATGATCTCGGCACCCCCGGGAACGCTCTCGACGAGGCGCAGCTGTTGGCAAGCACCCTGGGCCGAGAGAACCCTTCAACACCAGAGGAAACGCCCGCAAACCTCCTCCTCCTCCTCCTGCTCCTCCTCCTCCTCCTCCCTCCTCCTCCTCCTCCTCCTCCCTTCTCCTCCTCCTCCTCCTCCTCCTCCTCCTCCTCCTCCTCATCCTCCTGAACCCCAGGGTCGGCATCACCCGCACATGCCTGTGCCATGTGCGCATCGATGTCCCCCCTGGGGGGCGACGCGCGCGCTCGGAGATCTTGCAGCATGTGCTCGTCGGCGGTGTTCTCTGGTCGTCCTAAGGCCCTAACCAAGAAAGTAAACTAAAGAGCCAAGAAAGTAAACAACCAAGAAAGTAAACTAAAAAGAAGTTCTGCTCGTCTGGCCCCAAACAAGAACGTAAACTACAAAGCCCTTCGCGTCCCCAAGGTGATCGTTTTCTTCGTAATTGTGTTGCCGATCGGCGCGGGCCCTCGCACCCCCCCCAGGAAGCCATGGAGCAGATTTCTTGGCTGTCTTTGGCGCCTGTTTCACGCAGGTGGAGTAAGCATGGGGGCCCCTCCTCCCGATAGGATGCCCCACAGGAGCACTGGCCCAAACTGGTGCACTATAAGCAGAGGTCCAGAGCCAGACCCCCCCACTCCCCTCCCCTCTCGCCCAATATCGACATGTCGGATGATCCAGAGATCCGATGTCGTGATGTTTTCAATGCGTCGCTTTTATGACGGTCTTGGGGCCTGGCGATCGCCCCCAGGGGCCGAAGACTGCAAAAAAAACCTCTCTCTTGATGTTTTCAATGCGTTGGGCCTCTGGGAAGAAACGTCCCCCAGGAGGCGTCCCCCAGTTCATCCCGTCGGCGCTGCTGAACGACGGCGTGTGCGACTGCTGCGACGGCTCCGACGAGTGGCTCGCCGCAGCGCCGGCGGCGCGCTGCCCTGCGGGCGCCTGCGCCGCCGAGGCGTCGCTCCGCCCGGGCGGGAGGGGGAGCGTCGCTCGAGGTCCGCTGGGAGGCAACCTCCTCCTCCCCCTCCTCCCCTCCTCCTCCTCCTCCTCCTCCTCCTCCTCCTCTCTTCCTCCTCCTCCCCCTCCTCCTCTCTCTCCTCCTCCTCCTCTCCTCCTCCTCCTCTCCTCCTCCTCCTCCCTCCTCCTCTCCTCCTCCTCCTCCTCCTCCCTCTTCCTCTCTCCTCCTGCTCCTCCTCCTCCTCCTCCTCCTCCTCCTCCTCCTCCTCCTCCACGGCGAATGTAATCCACTGTCCCTGCAGGAATTTGTCGAGCGCAGCGCTAATTGTGACGTCGTGGTCGATGGATCGGCCTCGCAATGCATCATGGCTGATCTGAGGAGAGCCAGTTTTGCTGCCGTGTTTTTGGAGCCAGGGCCCGAGTGCAAAGTTCGGACCAGGATGATGGCCCCGATTTGGCCAAATCTTCATCAGACGCTGCAGGCGGCGGAACATGTTGGGCTTGCCACTGTTTGTCTGTTCACGTCTGGCCACAACACCCCTTACAGTGATTGCAAAGGGGCTGTGCGACTGCACAATGCGTCGGATCAGGCCCAACTAGGACCAAAGCAGATGTTTGCGGGGGTGCGTCGCGCGGCCCAGCAGACTGCGGGATACAGTTCTGCGGGGAAGGCGTGGCACACGCCAGCACACCGCTCTGAAGATGTCATCCTCGCGCTCCCTCCTGACGAGAGGCGCATTGCCTTACGCAATGATGACGCCGACCGTCTGGCCAAGTACGCTCTCTCCCTCCACCCTCAGGCTGCACCTGCCGATCTTGAGAGGCTGGATAGTCAGGTGCAGCTCCTCGGCTCTCGTGCCCGTATTTTTGGGGCTGGTTTGCCCCTCCGTCCGAAGCTTGCGTTTCAGCGGTCACCCAAGGCTGCACGTGTCCCGCGGGTGAAGCCACCGCCTGACTGGCATGTTTGGGAGAGACTGGAGTCGGGCACCCGTTGTCGGTGCCGCTCCTGTTTCCAGGTCGTGTTCGAGAACGGCGAAAGACCCATGAACGGCTGTCGTGGGCCCCCGACGGCCCTGAGGCGCCTCGAAGGTGCTGAGTCGGACCGTGGTCACCAACTGGGCTTCGCCGAACTGGACCGATCGGGTAAGATTTTGTGTTTTTCCGTATACGCTGTGGTGCGTATACCAGTCACCGCTGCCACTTCTTGGGCCAACAGTGTTCCAAGGTCCTGGGGCCCTCTGGTGAGAGTGCCCTCGATCGTATAGGCCGCGGTTTTCACCCTCACTACAGGTTGGTTTCAGAGGGTGACACATCGGTGTCGCGAGCCCTGCCCAAGGCAGTGCTCCTTGCTGCCCCTCCGCCGTCCTGGGCTGGCAGTGCACGGCTGATCGACAACGATCGCCTCCGTGCGCTGGCTGAGAGGATTCGGGCGAAGGAGGCAGCTCACGACCCAGCATAGTCGTGGATTAAGCTGACGTTCTGTCCCAAGGTCGTCGCATCCCTCCTCCTCCTCCTCCCTCCTCCTCCACCTCCTCCCTCCACCTCCTCCCTCCTCCTCCTCCTCCTTCACCTCCTCCTCCTCCCCCTCCTCCTCTTCCTCCTCCTTCTCTTCATCCTCCTCCTCTTTCTCCTCCTCCTCCCTCTCCTACTTCTGGTATTGGTGGTGGAAATGGGCACATCACAATTGGGCCCCCCGATCGCTGAACGCGAAGCGGTAGCAGCGGCCTGCGCGCCCAGGTTTGACCACCCCGTGTCCCCCGTGGAGCCGAGCACCAGATGTCCCTCGTGTGCCCAGGGCCACGCTTGCACGTAGCCGATAGCCATACCTCCGACGATGTGACTACAATGCCGCTTTTTATACATGCTCCGCGTGCGGACCATGTATTAAAAATAAAGGGTTGATTAATACATGCAAGGATGAGTTTTTGCATTAATTTACTCATAAATGAATCATGTATTTAAAATCCTATGTTTTTTGATAATTTTTTAAAAAGAAAAATCCGATGTATTTAAAACTGCCCTGTATGTTGAATCCCGTCGCGTTTCCTTGACTTCGGCTCCCGGGCCGCTGTCGGGCCCCCGGGGCCATGAGGAGTGGATCGGGAGCGAAGAGCTACCCCTGGGGAAGGGGGCGGAAGCCCTGCGGCGCCCCGGCAAAAAGGGTCCACAACCATCGGTGTATAAGGCGATGCAGCATGATAACAACCACGACTTCGACACGCCCTTGCTTCGCACCCCCCCCCCCAAGACCCAAAGCTGGAGGGCCCACATTTGGTCCCTGGCCTGTGGCCTGCCGCCCAGGCCCGCCAGCTTTGACATTGGAGGAAGGGGGTCCACATTTTGGTCCGACCTGCTTCGAAAACTGAAGGTCTTGGCGAGACACGCGTGGACACTTTTAGTCCACTGTCCGTGGGGCCTCGGATTGACAAACATCATGTTGGAGGATGTCTGGGAGCGCGGTTCAGCGCGAACGGGGCTCAGCCAGAACACTGGCTCCTGCCGGAGTTTGCGAGGCTGGAGTTGTGGCCGTGCCAGGTTCGGGAGCCGCACGCGGCCCTGGAGGTGACCTCACACGTACAGGCAACCCGTATCATAAGGACGGACGATGAGGATGCAAGGGCTTTGGAGGGCCATGTCGACGCTCTGCGAGCGGGGTGTGTGGCCAGCAAAAGCGGCCAAGGATGGGTCGAAGGGGAAGGATGCAAGGATTGTTACTCTTGGGAGGGTTGCCCATCCTTCTCATGCGGGTTGACCGTAGGCTGAGCCGGGCTTGGGACGCCCCCTGAAGAACTGCAGCGAAGTCTTTCGTATTTCGGCTGAGCTGGGTTTGCGCTGTGCCGGAATAGTGCACGCCCGACGAGGCCGGGCCGCTCGACATGAGCACGGAGAGAACGTGGACGAAGACCGACAGGAGTTCTTGCCCGTTTTGATAAGGACTCGCTGTCGGTGCGGCCGCGGACGTCTACTCGAGACGAGAAGTCGCTTGCCCAACAGCGGCCGCGTGTGTTTTTGGACGGTTTTCGCTGTTAGACACGGTTCCCATTTTTTCGTAGTCATTGCTGGCGTGTCAAGCGGTGTGGTGTGGATTATGGTTTCTTCGACAGTCTCTGGGTCGATGTCGATTCGATCGATCCGATTCGATATCGAGCCCAGCCGGGCTTGTCGGGTTCGGTTTCGATTACCTGGCGAGCCGATGCGGCCCGATGCTTGCATGGCGTCGTTGTGCATCCTTTCGCGCCCGATCCTCATCGCTTCCAACTCCGTGCCGATGCGGCCCGATCCGACGCACGTTCTAACCCGACCAGAGTTCCCGATCCGATGATGATTCTCCATGGGAGGAGGGGGGGGGAAGCGCTGTGAAGGAAGAGGGGTCCCGAGGGAAACAAGCGGCGGTGGAGGTCGTCTTTCGCAGTTTTTCGGGCTCCAGGGCGCCTCCCTGAGCCCCAGGGCCTCCTCCTCCTCCTCCTCCTCCTCCATCCTCCCTCTCCTCCTCCTCCTCCTCCTCCTCCTCCTCCTCCTCCTCCTCCTCCTCCTCCTCCTCCTCCTCCTCCTCCTCCTCCTCCTCCTCCTCCTCTCAGGATGACGAACTGGTCCTCGGGGAAGCCCCAGGGTCCAGGACCCGTTTCTTGCAGGATCCGTTTCCGTCTTGCGATGCGTGGGAGGGAGAATGATGGGGTTATAGACAAGTCCTGCGAGGTCGAATTCAGCATCGGCCCTGGTAGGTCACGCCTCGGTCGAAACTTGGCCCAACCTCGGCTTGATATGTAGGAATTATCATCTAGGCCTCCCAGATGGGGTCGGAGTAGATGGGGTCGGAGGATCGCGCCGCATCGCTGATGCATCGGCGATGCATGGGCGATGCGGCTCGATGTGAGGCCCAATTTTCTCCAAGCCGACGTCGCCGATGCACCGCCGACGTTGCCAGATCGCCGATGCATCGGCGATGCGGCGAGATCCTCCGACCCCATATGCTCGGACCCTATCTAGGAGGCCTCTATATACGGATGCCTGGCCGAATCTGGCTAGATTTAGGTCGGGCGTGTCCCCCTACAGGCGGAATCTGGCCGGAACAACTATTCAGAACATATTCAAAAAATACCCAAATATGATCAACAACTCGTCCCCTGATTTTTTTTATTATTATTTTTAAATATTCCTGTACAGGGACAGGCCCGATTTAAGGCTAAATCTGGTTTCGTAGTCCACCACTCGGGCGTCACGGTCCCCAGCGGGTCCCACGAAGAGAGATAGCCCAGGAACGGCTTTTGATGAGAGAAGGCGGAGAGAAGCATCGTCGTAGGGCGCCAACCCTGCACTCTGCGGCAGGTTCGCCCCTGACCCTCCAGAGTGCTAAGAAAGTAACCCTCCAGACCCATAGACGTATCTAGACTGCCTGGAACCTCCACGGGAAATTTGGGGGTCAAGGTCCTCCTGGCTTTCATCCAGGGAAGCATGCCATGACCATCCAGAGTGTTGAAACAGAGCCCTCCAGACCCATCAAATCCTCTCTGGACTGCCCAAAGCCTCGACGGGAAGTCAGGCTTGAGGGTCCTGGTGCCATTCGTAAGCCCACCCGGAACGTCAGGGCGTATGCCCAGGGAGGCTTTATGTGTGCACGCCGAGCCCCGGCCCGGGATCCCCGGCCCGGCCAGCACCGGTGCACGGGTGTACAGCGGGCGCCCTGCGGAAGTTCTGAAGGATGGGAAGCCCAGACCCCCTCGCGATGTGAGACAAACACGAGATTATCTTCCTCCTCCTTCTCCTCCCCCTCCTTCCTCCTCCTCCTCCTCCTCCTCATCCTCCTTCCTCCTCCTCCTCCTCTTCTTCCTCCTCCTCCTTGTCCTGCTCCTCCTCCTCATCCTCTTCTTCTTCCTCCTTCTTCCTCCTCCTCCTCTCCTCCTCCTCCTCCTCCTCCTCCTTCCTCCTCCTCCTCCTCCTCCTCCTCCTCCTCCTCCTCCTCCTCCTCCTCCTCCTCCTCCTCCTCCTCCTCCTCCTCCCCCCCCCTGAGCATATGCCGCATATGCCCCTCCGATCAGTGCCCCAGGACCAGACCCCTCGGGTGGTGACAAAACTCACGACGACAGGTTTTTCGTTATTTTCGGCCTCCAGGGGCCCTTCCCGGGCCTCGGGACCGTCAAACAACGACTCGGGATGAAGAACCAGTCCCTGGGAAGGGGTCTGGACTTCTGGGGGTCGACATTGTGAAACAAATCACGACGTCGGTGGTCTGGGGCCCTGCGGAAGTTTTGAAGGATCGGAATGGGTACGGAAAGAAAGGGTATACTGTATACGGCAGGTTCGTTGCGTGTCGACCGGCGGCGACCCCGCCGCCGGCGTTTGCAACGTCGAGCGCCGCACGGCGACCCAGAATTGGCCGAAGGTGAACGATTGTACGATTCGGACACCAGCCATCGTTCAAGGTTGAACGATCCCCGCTGTATCAGGAACCAACGCCGAAGTCGGCACGACACGCACCTTCAGTACGGGAACAATGGATACGAAGACTAAAAACTAACAGTAAATCCTGTCAAATTTGAACAGGAATCGCTGTCGGCGTCGCTGCGTGCGGTGTCCATTGGAGACAGAAGGCCGCCTGCCCAACAGCGGGCGCTGTGGGCTTTGGAAAGCATTTGTCGTTGGGCACTGTGTCCATCCTTCCCGTACCCATTTCGGGCGTCGAGAGGTGTGCGAGCCGGAGGCGAGCAGGCCTGTAAAGTTCCAGGCTGGCTTGCGCACATTTTTGGCTGGCCTCAACAGGCCCCCAGAGTAGTCCAGGGCGGCCTCAACATCCCACCCCGGGGGCGCGGAGCGCCTGAGGAGCGCCGACGGAAGTGGCGTCAGGGTGTTGAGACCGACCCAGAGACCGACCCCGACAACGCGGGGGGCGTGTTTTCGCCACCCTGGACTTTCTGGGTGCGCTGTCTGTGCAACAAATCCGAAGTATCACCGAGCGGGGCAGCCTTCTCTTGGGTCACTGGACCCCAGAGCCCAACTTGCTGCCGCTGCTGTAGAGCCAGACCGATCTGGCATGGTCCTGGATCGGGCTCGAATCAGGAGAGGAAAAAACACACAGACACAATTAATCCTCGATTCCCCAGAAAATATGGGAAAATATGGGAAGTGGGCGGGGAGACAGAAACCCAGAAAATATGGGAAAATATGGGGTATATTTTTATGTGTGTGTATTTATTTGTGTGTCCTGTGGCCCCTTCATCGAAGTCGGGCGAAAACGCTCCCAGTCTGGAAAAGCTGCAGCGCCCAGATCCGACGGGCCGAACGGGGCAGGCCTGGGACGATCCCCCCGCGGCAGGCTTCCTTCATCGCCGGGCGCCTGGCGCAGTTCCTCAGCGTCGAGCTGGAGGGCACGCGGCTGGGCGCCGCCAGCGTGGCGTCGCTGCCGACGCACCTGGAGGCCGCTCGGGGGGGGGGGCGCTGGCGCGTGAGAGCCCCCGGTGGCGGGGGGCCGTGGAGCGGGCCTTGGCCTTTTCCTGGCATCGCTCGGGCGTGTGCATTTTTTCCCGGCGAGGACCATCGAGGAGCATCTTTGATCATTCAGCGGAACATGCACGCACGAAATCGAAGAAGTGCACGGGGAATGGACGTCCGAGCGATGGCGAGTTTTGGGGTTCTTGGACGCTCAGGTTTCCCGCGGAAGTGGCGGTGTGGATTCACTGTCCTCTCACATCCTCTCTCGTCGGGAAACAGGTCACGACGGACTCGTCTCGGCCTCTGTGTGCAAGCGTCTAAGAGTCCCAGTCGAGGCTGCACGCGGCCCAGAGAGGTTTTCAGGTTTGGAGGGCCATGTGCTGGCCTTCTGGAAGGGCAGGGAACCTAGGGGGTGCTCGAAGTGCAGTACTACATGTAAGGGGGTCACGGCCCTCCCAGGCGAGCAGTGTTAGACCCCCACCCAGGCCCGCCGCGAACGGGGCGGCATTCTGCCCAGACCCCCCCCCCCGAACCCTCGGAGACGGCGGCCAACTCGGGGACTCCACCCCCCCTCGGATCAGACCACCCCCCTTTCTGTTCGTGACCAGGAGGAGGGGGAGGAGGAGGAGGAGGAGGAGGAGGAGGAGGAGGAGGACGAGGAGGAGGAGGAGGAGGAGGAGGAGGACGAGGAGGAGGAGGAGGAGGAGGAGAGGAGGAGGAAGAAGGATGAAGAGGAGGAGGAGGAGGAGGAGGAGGAGGAGGAGGAGGAGGAGGAGGATGTGATCGTGTTGTGCGCCTCGTGCTCGTGGGCGCCTCCCCGCCGTGCAGCGCCACCCATCGCTCGGGGCGCCCTCCGCGGGGGGGGGGGGCCGGCCGACCTCTCGCCCTCCGGGCGCGCGGAGCGGAGGGGCGGCGCGCGCGTGCGTTCGGGCCGCGCTCCTCTGGCCACGCGCCGAGGGCCTGGGCTGGCTTTGCGAGGGGGGGGGGCCACCTCGACAGGAGCTTCCACAGCGGGGGGCGCCCCGAGCGGTTGAGCAGATTCTGATGTCGCGTGGCCACAGTCCCCCGACATTATTCACCACCCACCAAACCACCCCAACCCCACCCGAAGGTCTCGATTGGCCCTCCACTTCCAGTTGGGGGGGGGGGTCGGGGAACATCGAGAAAACACATATGGAACCCGTACCCCCCCCCAACCCGAAATTCGGGTCTTCGGGTTGGGTTGGGGTGGTCTGGTAGGTAGTCAATTATAAGGTCGTCGATGCGCGACAGTGTGAGTTGGTCCGACTGCGTCCGTTTGCGCCGCGCGCCACTTGCCGAGAGAACGCTCGTGGCCTCATCCCCCCTCCTCTACCATCTCCGTTTCCCCCGATGTCTAGTGTCATCCCAGGTCGCCTGGGATGCAGTTCCTGGGACGTTGAAAACTTAGAGTCGGCGCTGGTAGATCCCTGGTCGAGAACTGGCCTGCTCTGGCGGAGTCCCAGTCCAGCTTGATCTGGTGTACAGTCGGACCGAGGTAGAGTCGGCGGCGAGCGAGGGGGGGAAGCAAGAAGGAGAAGGCCGTTTCCGAAGGCGGCGGGACTTCTCCGAAACCCTCGCGCCTTCTGGGAAGTTGTTTTGTGTTTTCGGGGAAGGCTTAGAGAACTTCTCAGAAGGCTGGGGGACTTCGAGCCTCTTGACAATACCTTCTACTTTCACTTCTCCGCTCGCTTGCCGCCGATACAAGATCGAGGTCGGTTCTGGGAGATTACCCTACTTCTCTCCGTGTTTGTTGGAAGTTCTCGTGCGTCCTGGGGAGGGGTTACCCCCGAGTGATCCCATGATTTGGGGTGTCTTGGCCTGACGGGGGTCTTTCATGTTCTTGAAGGGTGCGTTTCTGTCCTAGGTCCGACCGTATCATTGCCTGTTCCCGCTGGATAAGGTTGCACATTGGGCGCATTCTCGCTCAATCGGTCTTCGTTGCCCCTTGCGATCGGACCGAGCCATCAGATCGAGGTTGCTTCGGGGAGGGTACCCTCTTGTTCTTCGTGTGTGTTGGATGTGCTTGTGCATCCTGGGGGAAGGTACCCTCGAATGTTCTTCAGTTTGGCGGGCCGAGGGTCTCATGTTCTTGAAGGATGGCTTTCTGTCCCTGAGGCGTTCTTATGCAGACCTCCCGGGGCAACCCGAGGGGGGAGGATCGGCACCGCCCAAGCATAGTATGTGGTTTGAAGACGATCAATGGAAAGGGTTCATGTTGCCACACACTTTCCAGATGCCACAACCTTGTGGAGATTTGTGCGAGCCTCAGAACGGATGCAGTGTGCGAGAAAATTGAACAGTTAATGGTGGATACCGCCGGCAGGGCTCAAGAAAATCATGGCGATGCTCGGCCGCGAGACCGTAGAGATACCGACCTGCAACGTCTTTTGGAACAGAGAAAGGCAATGACGATTTCTTGTGGCGAGAGGAATGCGTTGGGCAAGCACATTTCGAGAGATGTCCGCGCCATGCGAAGAGCCATTGCGGCAAAACGAGTAAACGACATCTTGGTATCGTTTCGAGGTGTACGCCAAATCCCGAAGGTGAGGAACAGCTTGATCTCCCATGTGGTTGACGACGACGGGAAGACGATCGCTGACGGGAAATCGATTGCAAATGTGTTTGCAGACGTTTACGCACAGCTCCTTCGCGAAGATGATTCTTAAAAGTCGGCTGGCCAGGTGGACATCGTAATGAGCCCAATTCCTGCGTTTTCCGTGGCAGAGCTAAACGCGCAGATCAAGATGATGATGGATGGGAAAATGTAAGGGCCTCTGGGGAGTAATTGCCGAAATGGTAAAGTATGGCGGCGAACTGGCGGAAACCTTGAAGTTGAAGCTGTGCAGCGACATCATCCCGGCGCCCGGGATTTCACTAAGTAGATGGTAGGAGTCGATCGTATATGTCCTACATAAGTCTGGGGACGCAGCATCTGCTCGCCATTGCAGGCCCGCCGCGGTCATACCATTATTGTATGAGTGGTTTTGCCGAACTATGGCACGTTCGACTGTTTTCTGTTCCAGACGCGCGCCCAGAAATTGATCAAGCAAGCTTCCAGCGCAGTGTGGGTACGATGCACCAATTGTTCGCGGTTGCATCGTTGCACGAGAAGTACCATGAGTGGCAGAGACGTGTTTGGATTTCAGCAACCAGCTTTCAGAAAACATTCGGTTCGGTCAAGCACACGTGCGTACGTCAGGTTTGGGAACGACAGCGCGTAACAGACGGATGCGTTCAATGACTGAAGAGTTTGTTGTGGGCAGTCCGGACGGGCCCGCACCGTCCGCATGAGTAAATCGTTCGACGTTTTGCGTGACACCAAGCAAGGCGACCCGTTCAGCGGCTTGCTAGTCAGCGCTGTCCTGGAAGATGTGTTTGTTGAGGTCAAGACGGTTTGGGAACAATCGCTGGAATTTTACACAGGTTTCAGCAAGCAGCCCCTACAACCACCCAGCTTACGGTTCGTTGGTGATACGTTGCTCATCGGGACGTTCTTGCGTCATTTGAAGAGTAAATGCGTTATCAGAGTTGCAAAAGGCAGCCAAACAACGTTGACTGGTAATCCACGAAGGGAAGACGAATATCATGACGAACGCAACCAAGAAGCACCAGGCGCCCAAGAACATCGCACGTGCACTTCGCAAACATGAACGCCGAGGCTGTGTTGCACGACGGGGAACGAAGTACTTGGAAATGCAAATGCGCGTTGATTCGGTTACGCGACGTTGAAATTGATCACCGTATCAGCATGCCATGTACTCGTTTTATCGCGCAGGGAACAATATTGGTACACAGTACGTATTCATTGAATGTTAGTCTGTAGTTTTTTGACGCCACGGTGCCAACAATTTTTCTGTACGGCGGGGCAGCGCGGGCGTCGACGCAGGAATTGACAGACAAGTGACGCCGGGCGCAGCGGAAAATGCTGCGCATGATGTCCGGTCGTCGTCGCTGGCCAGTGGCCGTGCTCCACCTCGTCGTACGATTCGGCGTCTGATCGTGATCCCGTATGTGGAGCCACGGACAGAGTGGCGTCAGAGAGTCACCCACGAGGTCGAGGGGAGACGGCGTCAACTACGTGTTCGTGATTGGGTTCAGAGCCGCAAGTATGCAGCCACCCGTGGGCACAGACAGGTGCAAGAGGCGAAGGACACCTGGGCCCACCGTGCCTTCGCATGGGGTTCCGCTGGGCTGGCGCGACGAGCGCGGAGACCGAGGAGGTGGATCGACGCCGTGCCGACGCACATCTGGGGGACCGGAACCGAAATTCCGCCTCGCCTGCCGCGTAGGGGCGGCCTCTGGTTGGTGGGCGCGCGCGCGCGCGTGTGTGTGTGTGTGTGTGTGTGTGTGCGTGTTTGTGCGCATTCGTGTTTCATGCATGTTTCACACATGCTGTAAACATTTAAAAAACATTCGTAACTATTCATACAAACATGCACACATATATACACATGGGAATGCTGGACAGCAAATTGCCATGGCACCCGCGAGCTAATCTTCCGAGCGCGTCGGCCTGCGCAGGGGCTGCGCGCACGCTCGGGCATCTTCCAGCACGGGGTCCATGGCGGGCGTTGTTCTGGTCGCACACCGTTCGGGAAACGATGCGCAGCAAGATGTCGTGTTACAGACGGGAACGATAGAACGAAGCAGCCATGCGCCAAAAGCGCGTGGGCAACGAAAACTAGAGCGACATGCCAAATGCGCGAGAGAGCAAATGATTACGCGCGCACCAAACGCGCGCCAACATGGCCTGGACGCGCCAGGTGCGCGCCGAGGCCGGGGTGCTGCAAGAAAGATCGGCGGCGAGCGACGGCGGGGGCGAGACAGAGACAACCTTTTCAGATGGCGGCGGGGTGTCTTGGAAGGCTTCCGGGTTTCTGATCGGTTTTTGCGTCTTCAGGGAAGGCTCCGACAACTTGTTTTCAGAAGGCCGGAGGGCGTCCGGGCCTTCTGAGGAAGGCCCGCCTCTCTTCACTTCCCCCCTGGGCTCGCCTCCGAAAGGAACGCCAAACAAGGAGCGAAACCCATGTTTGACCTAGGAGCGCCTGCGTGGACGAGGGGCGCTGGAGAAACAGCCATGGAAGGACTTCACGAACATCGAGCCCCTGCCGAATCCAAGCCTTTCCTGATTTCGGCGGCTTGATTGTGTATGGTCGGATCGGGTCTGCGTCTCCAACGTAGGATTCACGTCATGTGGTGCTGGCTCCTCGTTTTGAAAACACAGCGTCCCGCGTCCACTCCCTCCTCCCTCACCCTCCTTCCTCCCTCCCATATCTGCCTCTGGTCTCCGCATGCCCGCCAATTTTGGCACATCCCTCACACGTTTAGTGGACCCATAGGGAGCTCCACCGGAGGCCACAGTTGCAGGGTCCGCATGCGCCAGCCCCGCCTGCTCCAGCACACCTCGCACGAAAATCGTGGCCCCATAGGGAACTCCACCGAAGGCCCCTGCGGCAGGGTCCGCATGCGGCCCCCCGCCAATTTCGGCACACCCTTCTCGAGGATCGCGGCCCCAGAGGGAGCTCCACAAGAGGCCCCAGCGGCAGGGTCCGCATGTGTCCTTCCGCCAATGTCAGCAGACCCCCCACGAGAATCCTGGCCCCACCGAGGCCCCAGTGGCAGTGCCTCGTGCGCCCCCCCGCCCATATCGGCACACCCTGCACGAAGATCTTGGCCCCATAGGAAGCCCCACCGAAGGCTCCAGCGGCAGGGTCCGCATGGTCTTCTGCCCATTTCGGCATGTGGCAAGGCCCGCATGCGTCCCGCAACCAATTTCGTCGCACCTCTCACGAGGATCGCGGCCCCATAGGGAGCTCCACCGAAGGCCCCTGTGACATGGTCTGTATGCGTCCGCCTGCCAATTTCGGCACACCCCTCACGAGGATCGTGGCCCCGTAGGGAACTCCACCGAAGGCCCCAGTGGCAGGGCCCGCATGCGTCCCGCCGCCGATTTCGGCACACCTCTCACGAGGATCGCGGCTCCGTAGGGAGCCCCACCGAAGGCCCTAGTTACATGGTCCGCATGTGTTCCCCCGCCCATTTCGGCACACCTCTCACGAGAATCGTGGCCCCATAACTAGGGAACCACACCGAAAGCGGTACCGACAATGCGTCACCGCAATTGCATATGGTTGGGCCTTTCGCCAGCATAAGTTGACCGATCTTTGTCCCCAGCTCCACCCCAATTTCGATCCCCATCATCCCACCACCCCGTTTGGGGATGTGCTCCCCCAAACCCGAAGTGAACAGCCTATATCCCCATCTAGGGGGGGGTAAATCCGCCAGTAGGACCAAGGCCACGCCCGTGGGGATAGGGATCGGTGACGCGATGTTCAGAAGCACCCAGTACAGTCAAGGATGAGCAACTTTCAAATGCTACATTGCCCCATCGGCGTCTTCGGTCCAAGGCTACATTGCCCTTATATTTCCAGGTAGCGTACGTTTACCGTTGCATCCTTGGCCCCCTCGGTCAATCCTTGGCCGCTTTCGCTGTCCGCGCCCCGCTCGAAGGGTGTCGGCATGGTCTTCTAAGGCCCTTGCATCCTTGTCGTGTATCTTGACGCGCCACTTCCGTACGCGCGACCTCGCCCGGCGCCGTGCGGACGGCGCCCCGCCGCCGTTGCCGTCATCGCCGTTGCACGCCGCCGCCGCCGCCGCCGCCGCCGCCGCCGTCGTCGTCGTCGTCGTCGTCGTCGTCGTCGTCGTCGTCGTCGTCGTCGTCGTCGTCGTCGTCGTCGTCGTGGCCGTCGTCGTCGTGGTCGCCTCGACTTCACCGTCATGCTCCTGTGCCTCCCCGGTGGCAGGGCGGGCGCGCCAGGCCCTGCGCGCGGCGGTGGCCGAGTCGGACGTGGCGATGCGGCCGCTGCGGGCCCGACCCCCCGCGCGCGCACGCCGCCGCTCCGGCCGCTGCTCCGCCCTTCTCCCCCTCCGCCTCCTCCTCGCTCTCCTCCTCCGTCCTCCTCCTCCGCCTCCTCCTCCTCCTCCTCCTCCTCCTCCTCCTCCTCCTCCTCCTCCTCCTCGTCAGCACCTCGGCTCTGATTGCGCAGCAGCGGGGCCGTGTTTTCTGCATTAACGTAGCACCCCTTCTCTTTACACGTTCCATGCTCTTTTCTTGCTTTGCTGGGGGCTGCTGGCCATCCGCATGATCTCACGCATAGCGGGCACCTACAATCCCCTCAGGGCGAACTCCGAAGACAGGCTTGGCGAGATCGTGCGCCGCACGACCAGCTTCGACAACGTGTGCTTGGTCGGGACCAAGGTCAAGGCCACGGTAGGCACCAGTGTTCGGCGCCGCGTCGTCCCTCTCCCAGGAAGTGATGGCCGCCGTGTCGTTGTCGATGCAGGATATAAGGTTGGTCCATATGTTAGTGCGTACGCTGGCTGCTCGGTTATCCTGGGGCGTCGTTTTCGTTATCGTGATATTGTTCGAGTCGCCGTACCTCCTGATTATCTCCAGGGACGTGGGCTTCTGGTTCGGGCCAAAAACCATTTGGCTGATATTACGACCATCGCTCTATATTATCCTCCACGCCCTCGGGAGCTCCGAGCACTAGCCACTTACCATAATACTTGTGATGCGCTGACGGCCTGGTTTTCATCCCAGCTCTGTGCGCTGCCGCGGCGAACAACGCCTGTAGTTGGGATGGATTTGAATGATGGACTGTGGTTGGTTCACCATGGGCGGGGAGGCTGGAAGGCTGATGGGCACTATGTGGTACCTCCAGAGTTCTCCACGAAGGCCCACTATGCTGGTATTGCTGTCGCCGAGGTTCTCGGCGCCCATGATCTTTGCGCGGCAAACTGTGCGCGGGAGCGGGTGCCGACGTTCTTCTCGAACAATGACGGCAGCAGCGCCATAGACTTTACATGTCTTCCTCGGCCGCGCGTGCAGAATATGTCGAACTGCGGGCCTTTGCGCCGAGTGGGCCGAGAGTTGCAGATTATTCCGAGTCAGAAGCCAGCTGACCACCTTCTCATTATGATCAAGACCCCTTACATCCTCTCTGTGCCGTCGGACACCCCTCTTTCCGCGCGCCCTGCCTTCTGAGATCGCGATGTTCTTATGCGCTGTGTGAGGCGCGGAGAGCGCCGAGCCGAGTTCATGGCTGCCTTGCACGCGCGCGTCGAGCAGGAGACGAACTTGCTTCGTGAACTGCTCGCTCGCTCGACGGCTGATGAGTTCTTTGAGAAACTGAATTCGCTGTTGATTGAGGTGGGCCAGCAGGTATTGCAGGGGGCTAGGGATGAGGTTTCGGAGCAGTTTCATTTTGAGCGAGAGCAACTTTTAGAGCGGCGTCGCCAGCTTCGTCCGTTGCTCCCCGATGTTGATGAACCCCTTGTTCAGCAGATTCAAGATCGGCTGCGACGCGTCTCTCGTCTTCACCGTGTGTTTCGACGACGGGGGGCTGAGGCACGGAGAGAAGCTCTTTTAGAGGAGGTTCGGGAGCATTGGCGTCGTCGCCGTCTGGCCGACGCTACTCGTCTTGCTCGCCGCGCTGCGGGTTCTCGTTTTGGGCCCAAGAGGCGTGACTATAGTGCGATCCGTGGCGCGGTTGACGACGCTGTGCAGTTGAAAGAGCTTTTCTCCCGTCCTGGCCCCGAGGGGGGCATGTCTGCGCATCCTGTGCCAGATTCGCGCGCTTGGCGCGCTCAGTGGATTGCCCGCGTTCCTGGGCCCACGACTCTTCTTGATGAACACTATGTTGTTGCTAGGCGTGATTTCCGTGCGATCAGATACCGTGTTTCCAAGGCTGGTAAACGACGGGCCGTTCCTGAATGGTCACCGCCGCTGGAGCTATGGTGGCTCGTCTTTTTTCCCCGGCGAAATCTGGGCAATCAACCTCTGGGAGTTGGGGCCGATCGATGCCCTCATGATCTTCAGGATCTCCAAGAGCTTGTGGTGTCTGGACTAGCGCGTATTCGCGCCTGCGGCCAGGTCCCTGCGTTCTGGAACCGCAGCCGCGGCGCCCCTCTTCCTCGGCCTGACGACAAAACCCGCTGGATACATCTATTGGATCCCTTTGGCAAGTCCTGGACGTCTGGAGCGATGGCCCAGAAGGGCCCTCTGCAGGGTGCCGATCAAGATCATGGGTTTCTTCGGTTTCGCCGTCGGGAGTGTGCTCTGATTGTCCAGGGGATCACGGGAGAATGGCTGAAGAAGGAGGGGTACCGATTTATCACGAATGCACACGACCTCACGAACGCGTTCGCTAGCAGTTCTGAGCACATATGGAACGCGCGATCCCTGACCTTTTCGCGCAGAACACTTCGAGGTTCGGTCTGCATCGGCTTCGTAGCGCACTCATCGCTCTTCGGGGACACGACGCGGACATGCACATTGCACCTGGGAGTGGAGGATTGATGGGGGACGAGTTCGCCGTGAATACTTTTTTGAGGACCTTCATCAAACCTGTTGAAGGTTGGCTTGCTGCCCAGCGGAGCTGGGATCCGCTGGCCGACTTACTGTGTGCGAAGCTGCCTGTGCTGGTCAATGGGCAGATTGCTCCCTTGCCGCTGCGCACCGACTGCTCCCTTACCAAGTATGCCGATGACACTTGACAAAAAAGTTGGTTCTTCTTCGGTGCGATGAGCTGGAGGGTCTTGTGGAACTTAGTCGACGGTGTAACGCCTCCCTCGATTCTTTCCTGTCCGAGGTGGGGGTTGCCCAGAACTTGAGTAAGCAGGACACGTTGCTGCACGTCTGGGGAGATGAGTCGGGACGATTTCTGAGATCCGTCAAGTCTGGTCGCATTACGTTTCCTGGGGATTCCGTTCTGGAAGCGAAAAGCTTGGGGGCCTGGATGTGCAGCAACCCTGCCAGCTTCGAGGCAGAGCGTAGGTCCCGCTTGAGCGCTCTTCGGCAGTCCGGGTATTCCATGGGTGGCTTCTGGACCCTTCGGGGTGTTCCTCATAGGCTGCGGCGATGTTTACTGATATCTAAGATTTATGTGGCGTTATCTGGTTTGGAGGCTTTCTAGACCCAGTCCCCAGCAACTGCACCGACTGCAAACTACTGCCACTATGCATTGCCGCAAAGCTATGCTAGGCCAGGCCACTACGTGGTATGAGTCCTCACGCCCTACGTCTTTGTCGTCTGAGGCCGTCCTCAGGTGGTGGAGGTTCGTCCCGCTCGAGTTGGAGCTTCGTATCCGTCGCATTCGGTTGTGGCAGAGTTTCGCTCGGGCTCCAGGGGCTCATCGACAGGTTATGGCCAGTATGTTTGGGGGCGTTGGTGGCAGTGTTCTGGCTCGCTCTATGGTTGTTGTGTTACCTAGTGGTCGCCTTGGTGCGAGTATGCCTTCTTGGACGGCTCGTTTCGCTGCTGATATTGATAGTCCTTCGGAGCTCGAAGATGGGGCTCCGTTACTTAGCTGTCTTGATCGACGCTTTTTTCCTTCTACTTGCTGACCCTGAGTATGCAGATGAGTTTCTTAGGATTGATGTGCGTCAACTTCGCGCGTCGGCTCCCTCGGTACGCGTTCCTCCTCCAGGGTCTGCGTCTGTTCCCGTGGACGTGCTAGAGAGCGAGGTTGTGAGTGCTGCCAAGTTTACCTGTATGTTAATGAATGCGGATGGCACTAGATGTGGCTACATAATCACGAGCGCTACATAATCATATTATCAATCACCATGGGTGTCGGTCCTTGGCTCATGTCGTCACGGTCACCAATCAATGTAGCGTGTGCTCGGCTACTTCCGCTCATCCTGAGAGTGCCCGACGACATCTAGCTCGGAGTCTGGTTCGCGGCCATTGCTTGCGAGATCGGACCCGAAATTTAGCCGAGGCCCGAATGCCGTCGAGTTTGACTTGTCCCCTATGCCCTTTATCCGCAGGCGTTTTGGCCGATCTCCAGGTTCACCCACGAACTCATCTTGTGCCGTGTCCGCTTCCACCTCTTCCTGAGAGCGATGAAGTCGACGCCCGGCTGGATGCTCGCGGCTCCCGCAGCCGCGTCGGCAACCGACGCCGACGGCGAGCCCCGCCGCCAGACGGCCCGCCTTCTCGAGCAAGCAGCCGGGGAGGGCAAGGGCAACGGAGGCACGTTGAAGGCCCTCGTCGCGATCCTCGCGCGCCTGGCCCTCAGCAACGCCGCCGAGCTTCGAGAGATTTGTGGAGTGGTATTCGCCACCTTTCTCGTGTCTTCCGAGGCCGCCGTGATCGCCGCTGCAGTAGCGGCAGGCCCAACCTACCACGAGGAGGCCAAGAGGCGCAAGTCCGAGGGCAGCAGCGACGCCAAGCCTCTTGGGCCCCCGTTCGTGCAGGTGTGGGCGGCGATGCTCCGCGCAATCGGCGCCGACGAAGGGTGCCCGCAAGTGCCTGCCGCATCAGGCCGACCCACAAACAGGGGGGCAAGCAGTCGTTGCACCGCGTGACCTTCGCCGTCGACTCGTCCCAGGCTGCGCTCGAGCCCGCGCTCATCGCGTACTTTCTGACGATCGGGGGCATTCGCAAGTTTGGCGCTGCCCCGAAAGGGGCCCTCGAGAGGGGCGCTCAGAAGTTGCTCGACAGGCTCGAGGGCAAGTGAGTCCATTGACGGAACCTCCAGCGGCACGCATTTCGGTCTCACCTCGCTCTTGTGGCATCGGTGGGATCGGAGTACCGACCGCTGGAGGGGATGCACGTGGCGCGGGATCGACGAGCCTGGGGAGTGGTTCAGTCCTTTTTTCTTCACTCGCTGGTGTACCTCAGACCTTGGTGATTGATGCTGGCTCTACCGATGGGCAAGATGGCGTTGGCTATGTTTACTCCAGTGATGCTGGCTCTACCATCGTGGGCGCTAGTGCTGGTATGATTTCTTCTGAGCGTGCTGATGGCACCACACGTTTGGGACCCCCTGAGGATGCTGCTGGCGCTACATCGTTGTCGAATGGTGCTGGCATGAGTTCTCTGAGTGGTAATGTTCCTCCTGCTGTTCGCGCTGCTGCTGAACGTCCTCCTGAGGATGACGCGGAGCGAGATGCGCGTCGGCGGGCCCTCGTACTACGGCTGTTGGCAGCAGCTTCCAGTGTTGTTGAGAATACGTCGCCTCCGACCCAGACGTCACTGTCGGTTTTATCAGGCCGTGACGCCCAGCCTTCTAGTAATTCAGGGGCCCGGCCGCTTGCCAGGTTTTCGGTTTCGTCTGGGGTCGATCGCTCGGTCGGGCCCCCTCGCCTCCCTCCTTCTCGGAGTCGCCCGCCTGCTCCCCCTCCCTCCGCCTTCCTGGGTAGTGCTCGTTATCTGGAGCTTGCGCGTCGTGGCGCACTCTCCTCCCCCTCGGAACCCTCTGGGGTGGTGCCTGGGGCCTCTGCGGTTTCGTTTTCGGCACCTGCCGAGGGCAGTGAACTCTTTGCCCTAAGGGGGAGTGCGCTCGACGAGGGTAGAATCTTTGTCTCCAAGGCGCGCGCGAAGCCCGTGACGCGGAGGGGAAAGGGTGCAGGTCGAGGGCGACCTGCGTAGTTGTCTTGCTGTGAGGGCTTTGTGAAAGGGGATGGTGCCATGAGACGCCCACAGGAGTGTGCCTCCTCAGGAGTCGTCTCCAGGCTTGAGCGCCCCCCCGCCGACAGGGCCCCCTCTCAGTGAGAAGTCGTTTCCATTAGCCACTTAGATCCAGATCTTTGTTTTGTCTCGTAGCACAGACAGACTCTGGGTTCGATAGTCCTTTGCTTTGCTCCTCCTCGTCCTCCTCCTCATCCTCCGCCTCCTTCTTCTCCTCCTCCTCCTCCTCCTCCCCCTCCTCCTCCTCCTCCTCCTCTACCTCCACCTCCTCCTCCCTTCCAGCTATTGTGCATTGACGACAGCCCGGGGGGACTAGAAGCTCTGGTCGATCAACCGATCAGCTGATCAGACGCAGACCAGTTGATCAGCCGATCAGCCGATGAAGATTGATCGGTGATCGGCAGATCGGCGGATCGGCTGGTCTGCGTCTGATCGGCTGATGGGCTGGTCGACCGCTTATCGGCTGATCGCCTTATCGGTTGGTCGACCGCTGATCGGCTGCTCGGTTGATCGGCTGCTGGGCCGCTTATCGGTTGATCGCCTTATCGGTTGATCGGCTGACGGACCGCTTATTGGCTGATCGGTTACTGATCCTCCCATCTTTGGGCTCAGAGATGCCCCGCACGAGGTGGTCCACCCAATGCCGTCGGGGACATTCTCGCAACTCCAGGCTCAGAGATCCCCTGACCTGAGGTGGTCGGGCCAGTCTCGCCTGAGGCATCCTCGCAACCAAAGGCTCAGAGATCTCCTGACTTGAGGTGATCGGGCCAGTTTCGCCTGAGACATCCTCCCATCTTTGGGGGCTCAGAGATGCCCTGCACGAGGTGATCCTCGTTCTCATGTTCCTCCCTCCTCCTCGTCCCCCCCTCTTCCTCCTCTTCCTCTTCTTCCTCCTCCTCCTCCTCCTCCTCCTCCCCCTCCTCCTCCTCCGCATACCTCTCCCTCCTCTCCTCGCCCACCTCATCGTGCTCCTCTTTTTCATTTCCATCCTCTTCTTCCTGCCCATCCTCTTTCTTTATCCTCATCGCAGGCTTTTGGCCCAGATGGTGCCTTTGTCCAGCGAGATGCGGCCCCATCGGGGCGGAGGGCGCCCGGACCGCAAACACCAAACACGCTGCGCGGACGCATATGGCGAGCCATAATGTCGCGCCCATGGGGGTCATGAGCTGCCAGGACAAAGCCTTGACGGGCTTCGCAGAGGGTCGATCGGAGCCCTAGGGGTTGACACCAGCACCAACGCCAATATCGGCGCCCATGTTGGAACCAATGCCACGTATCTTGGCTTCGAGGTGGGGCCGGGTCGTTCCGAGTCCACTTGGGCGAAAGCCGTTGTCAAGTATACGAAACGAGGTAGCCAGTGGGCGGAATGTAGGCTTGGATTGCATTCTAACGCAAGAGTTTATCTCACATTCGTTGTCATCTGTCTGTCGTATATCTGGCAATTCTGCGGGCCGACGGGGGAGCTCCTCGCCGAGGAGGCGTCCGCCCTTGCTCGGCTGTCTTCGGGCCCGGGCGGTTGGCGGAGTGCAGCAGATTTGTGCAGTCTGAAAGCTTCGGCCGGGTTCCCAGAGGAGTCCGCGTTCCTTTCCGGCGCCGCGTGGGCCGCGAAACTCGCGGTCGCCAGCACGGTCGTTACGGATTTTTCTTCGTTGGCAGCGCAGTTGGCAGAGGCGCAAGTCGATAATTTTTCTGTGGCAATGGCCTCCAAGTGGAGGACTTGATCAGGTTCACAGTCGCTTCTGTGCTGAAGAACGCCGTGGACCAGGCCAACCCGCTCCGCATCGGGCCTGTCGCGGTGCAGAGCGGACTGTGTGCTGCGGTCCGCGCGCGCCCGAGCAGGCGGCTGCAGGTGGAGGCTCGCTTCTGGCAAAAGCTTGCCAGGTGGCAGACTTCGTCGCCAATCGGCATTCTGGCCAGGCGTGCGCCTGTCATACTCGCCAGACTCCGCAAGCTGGCGCCGCCACGGATCACGCCCGCTGTTTGCAGCAACCAATCGAAAGGCTGGTGCGCCGCCTGAAGGCTTCCTGCTTCGGTTTCTCGATATCTGTTCGCGATTGCAGTGGGTACTGCGCACATTTTCTCGTTGTCAGATTAAAAGCCAAGTTCTTGCGGTTTGCTGACGTTTCTCTGGGAAGCTTTCTGTGTATAGGGCACGCAGAAGACGCATCCCTATCACTTCATGCCTTTGCTACGTATGATGTTTACCCTGCCTCAAACCAGTTTCGCGGACAATCGACGCCGACGGCCACGGACGTTAACGAGGCGCTCGAGCAGCGGCGCAAATCGGGAGCTGCAGGGCACTTATGCTTTCACGCACACTTTTGATTCGAGGTGGCTTTAGCTCAGGCTTACCTTTGAATGTTTCCCTGTCCTTCGGCGGAGCCGGGCGCTACTGGTTTTATTGCCTGTCCTTCTCTTTCTCCTCCCTCCTCCCCCTCATCCTCCCTCCCCCCTCCTCCTTCCCCTCTTCTCCGTCGTCGCGCTGGTCATCTGTCGCGCCTCTCCCCCCTTCTCCCTGTCCGCGCCTTCCAGTTCCGACGCGAGACGTGGATCGTCCTGCTCTGGCCGCGCGCCTTGGTGCTTGTTTGGGGTTCGCGTCCTTCTCGCGACTTCTCGTCCTTTCGCCCGCCTCCGTCGTCCGCTGCTGCTGCGATCATTCCCTCTCCTTCCCTCTTCCCCGCCCTGTCCTCCTCCTCTCTCCCCCTCCTCGCCCCCTCTTTCCCCTCCCCGGTGGAGCCGACACGTTTTCGCATTCGAGGCCATTCTTAAGGTCTTCTCATGTGGGGCCATTCTCATTCTCTCCTCGGGCCCTCTCGAGGCCCTCTTCCAGAATGTTGTGGCCCTTTCAGGGCTCTTTTTGGGGCCCCCTTGGTGGGCCTGTCACGGGAGCCGCAGAGCTTGTTAGAGCCCACAGCGGCAAGAACGCAACAGCCAAACATGGAATGCTTTGTTTCCCATAGGATCGCGGCAAAGTTGGGGGATTTTGGAATTCATTCTGGAGGCTATCAGGGGCCTCTCAGGGACCTTTCAGGAGCCCCTGGGCCTCTTGAAGGTGTCTTTGGAACTGTCTTGGAACACCTTGGACCACCTTGGGGTCGTCATAGGAACCCTTGGTGATGTCTTGGCGCCTGCCCTACGGCCCTCTAACGAGCCCCTCGGGGGGTCTTGCGGGCCCTTTGAGGGTACTTTTCGGGGCCCCCGTGGGGCCAGCACGGGGCCGAGACGCCCACTTGAAGCCCGCAGGGGCAGACAGGCCGAAATCATCAACACACAAACGGGACCGAGGAGGAGGAGGAGGAGGAGGAGGAGGAGGAGGAGGAGGAGGAGGAGGAGGAGGAGGAGGAGGGGAGGGGGAGAGGAGGAGGGGGGAGGGGGAGGATGATGAAAAGGAGGAGGGGGAGGATGAGGAGGAAGAGGAGGGAGGGATGAAGGGAGGGGCCGAATGTGTTTGATGATTCAGGCAAAGCTTGTGGACCTCCTGGGGATCTTCGGATGCCATCGGGGGGCCTTTCATGTTGCCCTTCCTGGGGCCTCGCGGGAGCTTGCTCGGGCCTCGTTGGTAATTCCTGGGGAGTTGCCTTGGACCATCCCTGGACCACCCTTGGGGTCATCGTGGGGCTCCTCCCTCCCTCGCTCCCTCCCTCCCTCCTCCCCCTCTCCTCCCCCTCCCCCCTCCTCCTCTCCTCCTCCTCCTCCTCCTCCTCCTCCTCCTCCTGCTCCTCCTCCCTCCTCCTCCTCCTCCTCCCCCTCCTCCTCCTCCCTCTCCTCCTCCTCCTCCTCCTCCCCCTCCTCTCCTCTCCCTCCCCCTCCTCCTCCTCCTTCTCCTCCTCCTCCTCGTGCTCTCTCTCCGCGTTGACCTGCCTCCGCTGGCGGGACGGACGCGGGAATCTACGGCTCGGCTCCGTGTCCGTCTTCGGCGCTGCTCCTCCCAGCAGGCGCGCCCGTGGCCCGCGGCCGCGGGCCCGTGCGCACGGGGTGGAGCCCGGGGCCCTGCAGCCGGAGGGGGCCCGTGGTACGATGCTCGTCGGGATTCCACCTGTCCCAGCCTCGTACTCCCTTCCTCTCTCCCCCTCGTGCTCTCTCGTTATCTCTCTTTCTCTCGCTTTTTGTCTCTCTCTCTCTCTATATATATATATATATAGATACAGCTATATGTATATGTCTTGGCCTCCATCTCTCCATCTCTCCCTCTCTTTTATATCTATACATCCCCGAGAGAGAAGCAAGTGCACCCAACAAGTTGCGGCTCCCAGGCCAAGGCGACCGAGTTGCAGGCCGAGATGCAGGCTGTGACCAAGAGGCTCCAGAAGGAGCTGCGTTAGGAGAGGATGAGGAAGAAGGGGAACACGGTATAAGCATGAATTTTCGGAGATCCGCGCGGATGTCTTGGATTCGTGCCGGACCCCCCTGGCGGCGCCGGCGGCGCCAGGGAGGGTGGCTCAGCGCCGATCCAGGAAATCCGCGCGGACCTCCGACAGTTTAGTTTTACGGTCGGGGCCCTGAAGAAGGAACCCTTTTCGTTGGGGAGGGCCTCCGTGTTCCTTAGTGTTTCGCAGCTTGCCTTCGATTTTCCTCAGGTTTTCGATACGAAATCGAAGTTTAACTTATGGAAAATAGGGACCTCGTTCCTGATTTAGGGTTCCTTAGGTCAACGCCTCGACTGTATGCCGCTTCGTCTTATTCTCGATGGGAGCAGGAAGCGCCTCGGAGTTTCGAGCGTCTTGAGAGGGGAGCTGGGCACGGAGGCCTGCGCCATCAACCCTGTGCGCGTTTCTTCTCCGATTGTGAGTGTTTGTGTGTGTGTGTGTGTGTCCGTGTGTGTGCGTGTGTCTGTGCATGCCCCCCGTTCTCGTGCTGTGTGTGTTCGAGTGGCGCCAGGCGTGTAGGGACAAGTCTATGTGTTGTGTTGTGCGCGTTGTGTGAAAACATATACAAACATACATATATATATGTATATATATACATATTCCCCAAATAAGAGCTTGCCTCTGTCGGGGTCCTAGCGGATTCATATTGTCAGGTGAGGTGTGCCACCGATTTCCGCGGCCCGCCCGGGTGTTTGGGTGCTTTATAGCCCTATAGCCCTAAAGCCCTATAGCCTTGTAGCCCTATAGCCCTGTAACCCCATTGCCCCATAGCCCTATAGTCCTACCTATACGACCACCCTTCGGGTGATCAGGAGGTTCCGGGGGGGAGGAACCAACGTCTCACTCGATCGGTCTCATTATCGATCTCACGATTGATCTCACTATCGGTCTCGCTCGATCGATCTCACTCGATCGATCTCACAATCGATCTCACTCGATCAATTTCATTCGATCGATCTCACAGTCGATCTGACGATCAATCTCACAATCGATCTCACTATCAATCTCACTATCGATCTCACAATCGATCTGACATTCGGTCTCACTATCGATCTCACTATCGATATCACGATCGATCTCACAATCAACTTCACCATCATCAACAACATCACCGTCATCATCATCACCATCATCATCATCATCATCATCATCATCAACGTCATCGGGACATCATCATCATCATCATCATCATCATCATCATCATCATCATCATCATCGGGACATCATCATCATCGGGACATCACCTCGTCACCATCATCATCGTCATCATCAGCATCACCATCATCATCATCGGGACACCATCATCGTCACCATCATCATCATCATCATCATCATCATCATGTTCAACCTCATCATCGTGATACCATCATCATCATCATCATCGGAACACCATCATCATCAGCATCATCCCATCAACATCATCATGAACAACATCAGCAGCATCATCATCATCATCGGGACACCATTCATCATCATCATCATCAGCAACATCATCATCATCATCATCATCATCACCATCGGGACACCATCATCTCGTCGCCATCATCATCATCACCATCATCATCTTATCATCATCACCTCATCATGCTCCTCATTACCAACATCATTATCATCATCGGAACACCATCATCGTCATCATCATCAACTTCATCATCATCGGGACACCAGCATCATCGTCATCATCAACAGCATCAGCATCAACCTCATCATCATCATCATCATCATCATCGGGACACCAGCATCATTATCATCATCATCATCATCATCAACTTCATCATCATCATATCATCATCATCGCGTCATCATCACCATAATCATGATCATCAACATCATCATCATCACCATCAGGACGCAATCATCATCATCAGCATCAACCTCATCATCATCATCAGCATCATTATCATCATTGGGACACCATCATCACCACCATCACCATCATCATCATCATCAACATCGTCAACATCATCATCACCATCGGGACACCATCATCACCACCAGCACCATCATCATCATCATCATCATCATCATCATCATCATCATCATCATCATCATCATCATCATCATCATTATCATTATCAACATCAACATCAACATCAACATCATCGACATCATCAGCATCATCGGGACACCGACGGGACACCGGCGGGACACGGGCGGGACACCGCGCGGCACTGGCCCCCAGAAATCAGAGCGTGAATTACCTACCCCGCTTTCGCTTCCAGGCCAAACCAAGTCATACCACGCGCCTCCTCGTCAAGCGGCCTGACCAGTACAGGCCGTAGTTTGGCATCGCTTGGTATCTCTTGGAAGCGAGGGTGGTCAAAAGCGAGGTAGGTTTGTTTGCCCCCTAAGAAAGGAGACATTTTGTCCGGCCGCGCCTCAGCCAGAGGCGGGACACCGCGCGGCACCGGCCCCTGGCCCCCGACACACGCAGCTTCGCCTCGCCCGTACGCACGGTACGCACGAACACGAAACCGAAACCGATTTCCCGGTAGGGGGGCTCTCCGTTCCACTTCGATCTCACCCCCGCACCTCCGATCGCCCTATAGCCCTATATCCCTATAGCTCTTTCTATCTCTATCTCTCTCTCTCTATATATATGCCTATAGCCCTATAGGCCCATAACCCTATAGCCCTATTGTCCTATAGCCCCATAGCCTTATACACTCATAGCCCTATAGCCCCACAGCCCTACAGCCCAATTGCCCTACAGCCCTATGGCCCAGAGCCTTCTAGCCCGATAGCCCTATAGACCTGTAGCCCTATGGCCCTATAGCACTATAGTTACATAGCACTATATTCCCATAGCCCCCTCGGTCTATCGCCCAATAGCCCCATACCAAAGCTTTATAGCCCTAAAATGGCTTTTATTTTCTCTTGTGTCACATCTCTCTATATACATATAGAGAGAGAGAGAGAGTGTGTGTGTGTGTGTGTCTGTGTGTGCATTCGTGTGTGTGTGTGTCCTCTTCGGCCGTTAGCCTGACTTCGCCGCTTTGCTGTGTGCGTGGCAGCGACGCCGACAAAAAGTTTGTGCGCGCGCGCGTGTGTGTGTGTGTGCGTGTGTGCGCGTGTGACTGTTTTTTTCGCTTGACTTGCCCCAAGATGCGCCGCCGCGCGCGTGGCCGCGACGCTGAATGGTGTGCGTGTCTCTTTCTGTGTGTGTGTGTGTGTTGTGACTGTTTGCACGGGTTCGGGCGTCGCTTCCGAGGGTCGCCTTCCGAGGCTCACATGGACAGGCACCCCACTTTCACGCTCTGCACGCCCTGCCGCTTGCGCACACGCCGCCTCCGGCTGCACGCTCATTGGCCGCCTCGCTGCGCGCCCGCCGTCCCCACCGTGGCTGGCGCGAGTCTTCGCACGTCTTGGACGGGTTTGTGCTCGTATCGCCGTTCGCTGAGCAAGCGGGTCTCATGCCCAAACCATCGGCGCCGACGTGTCCCGCTGTTGTCCATCGCGATTGTGGTCACATCGCTGGCGGGTGAAACGCGTACGTGTGTGTGTGTGTGTCTGTGGGTGTTCGTGTTCTTGCGTCTTCCGCCACACTGCAACAAGTGTGTGTGTGTGTGTGTGTGTGTGTCTGGTCCCCGCTCTTTTATCGTCTCCCCCTCTCCTGTACGCCGTGCGCTCTGAACGTTCTCACCGATCGTTGTGATCCCGCGCCTGGGTCTCCTTCGCTGGTCGCTTGGACTCGCCACCGATCCAGGACAGCGTCCGCTCTTGGGCGCGCTCCTCAACGCACGAGTGGAGTTTGGCGCTCGCGTCCCGAGGCTGGCTGGCTCGCGATTGACTCCCATCACGGCGTCGGGGGAGCTGTGGTGTGTGTGTGTGTGTGTTGTGGGTTCACCTCCGTCTGCCGACCGCGCCTGAGGTTCCTCTGCGCCGCTGGCGGAACAAAAATTGCGTGGTGGGTTGCTTGGGCGTCAAAGAAGTGTTATGCTGGA